GTTTATCTTGTGCCCCTAGTCTATCTCTGTGACTTCTGGCTGCTCAGTATTCATTTTGTGCACGTGACTCGGTTATAATATATTATATACAGTATATAATTATATTACTATTATATATAAAATAATATAAATTTTAATAATTTTTGTTTATTAAACCAATTTGGATAGTTTAATTACCAAAATGATCCTTAAGATAACAGCTTTTTAAATTATTCAATTCTGATTATATGATCCTGAGATCAAAAATATTTTATATTAGATTTACTATATAGTAAATATAATACAAAATACTTCTGATCTTGAGATCATATAATCAGAATTAGATGATTTTCGATTTATTAGAAAGCTGTTATTTTAAAAATTATTTTGGTAGTTAAACTATTCAAATTGGTCTAGTGAACGAAAAGTTATTTAAATTTTAATTTTAATTTTATTTTATACAGTATATAATTTTTTTTTTTTTTTTGGCAAAAGTAACTCTAATTGTGGTTGATCTTTAGTATAACTAGGCAATATAGAATTATTATAATATTATAATATAAATAAATAACTGTCCAACTTAAATTTAAGCAAATTTGGAAATATTTAAAGTTAGAGTAAGTCTATAGTTTAAATTAAAATTAGCTTAGAGTTAGAGTTAGAGTTTTTTTATTATAATTTTATAATATTCTATATTGCTTAGCTATATTAAAGAAAATTTCTAATTGTTAGTAAGATTTTATTAAGCAAGTATTAAACACTATACATTATAGTAAAAGTATATCAAGCCTTTTGATGCCTAATTTAAGTAGTCTATACTAAGAGTTCTACACTATCTGCTATATCTGTAATTCATTAATAATATTACTTATTTAAATCTTCTAGTCTTAATATATCCAGTCTAACCCTAATTAATATAAATAGAACTCACTATATATGTAGTAGATTTGTAATACTACTATATTTACTAGCCAACTTAGGATACTTAACTATCCTTAAAAGTAAACTCAACAAAAAGTATATATTCTATATATGTATTTATCTGCATGTTCGATAACCTTTTTCTAACTAGTATTTATTGTACTGCTGATATCAAGTTTGTATTTTAAACCAACTTTTAAAGTGCTGCTATAATCTGATCTGTATCTCAAGCTACAACCTTTCTAATTAGATACCCATTATGTACTTCTTGCTCTTATTTGATTCACAACAATCCCAGTATCTACACTTAGAACTGTTTTTTTACCCAGATTTTTTATTGGTCTCTCTCTTATTTAGAGATGTTATAGTCTATTCTGATCTGGTCTTGGTTTCAAAGATTGATTCTATTAGAGAACTGCAAACTGAACTGTGGTTCAGGACCAGTTCATAAACCAGTCTATAAGTTGGTCTATTAACTAGTTTTCAAAAATAAGCTATGGTATATAAAAAGATCTTATAGCTATTATTATAAATCTTGAAATAATTGAAAAAATTGCTAATAACTAGTAATGCAGTAGATAATTTGTTATAACTAGTTATAATATAGGTTTTAGTTAGTTATAGTTTAAGATATAGCTATGCCTTTTTATTATGAATTGCTTAAAATCCTTAAAGACTTTATAAAAAATAATGAAATACTAGAATGGCTCTCTCAAGTGTGTGATGCTGCAAAAAAAAAACTTCTAAACTATTGTGAAAAACAAATATATTGTATTTCAGTCTTGGATCCAAGAATACTTTGAAGAACTTGGCTAGTTATCGCATCTTATTACTTAGATTAAAAATATATAAGTATTTTATTTTATTTGTTTTATTTTTATAAATATTAATTTTTACTAATATAATATTTTAGCATTAAAAACAAATATGAAAATAGCTATGCACTTATTCCTAACCAAAATGTTTACTCTACTTTTGAATTATCTCTAATTACTATTATAAAGAGGATTTATAAACGAGCTCGTACTGAATGTTCTAGTGAATTGGATACTTATTTGTTGATGCCTCTTGCAGATTCAGAAAAAGATATTCTGGAATGGTAATGCAAAAATGATACAAACTTTCTGAATCTTGCAAAGTTTGCCCGGTATTGTCTTCCTGTACTAGTAACAAGTATGCCAAGTAAAGAAATTTTTAGTATCAGCGGTGATATGATTACTGATAAATAAAATAGGTTGGCAGATAAAACTATATGGGCAGCAATGTGTTTAAGGTCATGGTGGTGAGAATTTAAATGATTTTTTTTTTTTTTTGAAATTTAGATTTTTTTTTTGAAATTTATGTAATAAGCAAATATATATATATATATATGCAGTTATGAAAGTTAAAATTATGAAATTCTTGGCGGATATGAGCCATTAGTTAAATGGTAAAATAATAAATTGCAATTTTGCTTTAAAAAACATTTATATAATCAATATTAAATTTTACAAAATTCTAATAAATAAATTAATTATAGTAAATAAAAATAAGACTTTGGACTTCAATTAAATTTTTAGTGGATATAATCAATCTAATTTATTAAAAAATGTGTCTGATACAGTTTTACTAATTTTTCTAATTAATTATTAATATTAATTGCTTATCATTATAAAAATCGATCATATTTGCATTAGTGATCTGAAATACATATTTTCTAATATGATGTAATAATTATACAATTAATGTACAGTAAGTAATTAGTAAAACAATTAGAAATAGTAAGAGAAATAGTAACTTATCCGATACAAATATTATTGAAAGTTCCAAGTTCTATATTTGATACCGGTTCTACAGTTCGGGTCCGGATCTATATGATATGGTTTTGGATCTTTATAAGGACCCGATATTATATGATAGTTCGAGTACAGTTCTTAACAAGACCTACTCGAAACCGAACCATGCAGAACACTAGGTGAGGTAAAGTTAGTGTTGGATTAGTGTTAGAATTAGAGAAAAGTTTTTTTATAGTAAAATTTTGTAAAAAATTTTTTTGTTAGAATGCGAAGAGTAGTTTCATATACAAAGTTTTGAGTTATACAAGATTTTTGATAAAATAAACATTTGTTTTGAATTTTCTAATTGTGCTATATTATATCTGATCTTAAAATTTGATTGGTCAATCATGTGAGAGGTGATGAATTAGTGTCACTGCGGGTGCAGTAAATAAATATACTCAATTTTTTTTTTTTTTTTCTTTGATAACCTTGTACAAATTTATTGAATACTTTAAACATTGGCTCAAGTTTTACAATCAATATACGTATTTAGCAAAAACTCAGCTGCTTTTTAAAAAGTGCCCAAGTTCAGTTATAATACTGAAATTTGCCAACAGACACCCACATACAGCGCTAACTGCATTTAAAGTATTGCTCTAGCATGGTAATCAGACTATTGTATCAGAACTATATCTATTTCCTTTTAATTTTTTTCTTCTTTCTAGGGACAGCCAATGGCTTAAAGTAAGGGGAGAATTTTTAAACAGAACAAATATAAAAACAGCCAAAAAAAAGAAAAAAAAGAAAAAACAAAAGGAAATAAAACAGAATCCTAATGACACTAATAATGTCTGTGCCGGCCTAAAAAATTATATACTATGCATAAAACTACTAAAGTTTTAACCAATAATATATGTGAACTTATTCCTTTCTGAAACTTTCATTTCTTCTAGGGATAGCCACCAACCGAAACAGAAAAAACAAAAAACAAAAAACAAAAGGAAATAAAACAAATTCTAATAGCACTATTATTGCCCATACAAGGCTTAAAAAATTATATACTATGTATAAAACTAATATAATCTAGCTTTACCTATAATATATGTAACCATAACATAGTTCGAAAACTTTTTACCACAAACCCAACAGATCAACATTTGTTTATTTCTACACGTAGAGCCGTACGTCGTAGACCACACGTGACTGTTTTGTGATTTTCTTCCCAATTTGGTAGTGGTACACAATGTAGATCGTTTGTCGGAGGTACGCCAGATTTCTCACTTTTTGGCAGAAATTTTCGAAAAAACTCCAAAACATAGCGAGAGAGTGTAAGAGGTGTTCAGTTATCTGTACTTGTAAAATTTCTAAAGGAGTGTGTTGGATAACTTGTTCTTATGTTGTTCTCCTTTGTTTTGCTACAAAAACTTTCGTCGACAGAAGATTACCAATCTCCACCAAAATTTTGTATACAAGGGCACCTTCTCCTGTCAGTTATCTTGTATTCCAACACTTTTGGCTTGCTTGCCGAATAAATAAAGGAGTCCCCCGGCAATAGGCTGACCTTTATAAAAACCATTTCTTGTGTTATCCTACTATACTTTATAGTATAGGCAATGCTCCAACATAAGTCATTTTGTTTTCCATTAGTGTAGAAATTTTGGTCCAGGTGATCATCGGGAAGAGTTCTCTCTAAGCTCAAGAATAATACTTTAGATTTAATATATGTAAAAGATAATCTTTTGCTATTAAAAAATTATTAAATAATTTGTTTTACTTTTCTTTAAACAGAGATTTATATAAACTACTATGGCATTTATAAAACTGTTTAATAAAATTATCCCAATTGTTGTTCAACTTTACTTTTAGATTTTTGGGTAAGTTTTGTTTGATATAAATGATACAATAAACATAATATGTTTTAGAGAAACCAATTAGAATAGCAGTATTAAGTACAGAATTTGCATTAGTAAATATAATAATTAGAGCTTTGTTTGTTTCTCTTTTAATATACTCAAGTATTCAAATATGTGTATTAATAGTTTTATCTGCATTTGTTATTAACTACTATGAAAATTTCTAATAGTATTTGATACTAGTTGGTTTATACCATGTTATTATTAACAATAATATTGTAATACTTTAGCCAAAAATTCAATCTGATTTGGAGATATCTAAAGAAAATAAACTAAGCAATTGTCTTTATCTAGCTTAAAATCAACAACCCAGTATGGATTTTCTAGCTTTTTTTGCATTAAAGAAATAAGCAAAATTAATATGTTATTACTAATTTTATTTATTGTCCAAAGTGTAGCAAAGACTTTTATATCTATTCCAAACTATGCAATGTCTGTTAACAGCACTCAATCAATTTTTCATATTAGGTTATATTGTATATTTCTGCATAACAACAAAATACATGATGCTCAATCAGATTGTTGCTTCGGATATCTATTAGCTCCTAATACCTAGTATATATATTTTTTAAATTACATTTACCAAATCTTGGTTTTGTAAATTTAGATTTGAGAATTGAGCTTTTAGAAGACTTTTTGTACAGTAAGCAATAAATTATTATGCTTTGTTTATTTTAATTTTATCAAGTACTTTTTAGTTAATAATCAATACTTTATACCAAATTCTTGAGTTTCAAAGACAAGTAAATAGCTATGTTTATTAATATATATTGTAATTGAGATTTCTGCAGTTTGATTTGAAAAAGATAAGTTAATATGCTATGAACAATTTACTTTCTTAGTTTTTATAATCTATTTAAAGCTGATTTATTATTATTATTTTTTATAAAATTTGGCAGTTATGCTACAACTTTTATTAGATTTACTGCAATTGGCTCTACTGCATGCAGACTTCTCACTAAAACACTAGCTTTAGCATCTAAATTACAAGCTTTGACTAACCCAGTTATTTACTAGACACCTATGTTCAACCTGCTATAGCCGATTTTGTCTACGCATCTATCCTTCTTGCGACTGAAGTAGATAGGTACATCATCAACTGGAATCAGCCACCCGTCATGACTACTAATTTCCTTAAGACCTTTTTATTTTTAATATTTAAGCAAGGAGATTCTATAATCCTTGCCTTAAGAATGACAAGTATACTAAAAAAAACAAACTAAAAAAAAAAGGAATAAAACAAAAAGTGAAAAATCTACAAAATCTAAGTGAAAACCAAATAAAACAAAAGAAAAAAAAAAAAAAGAATAAAAAAAAGAGAAAGACAAAAAGAAAAAAGCAAAAACCATAAAAGCAATAGATATACTGATGCTTAAGAAAACAAATGTTTTAGTTAAAAATTATTTAATACTCTGCAAAACAATCTCCACCTTTGCTTTACTTCAGTATTAAAATAGTTCTTGTTATGTGGAGAATATGAAATTTTTTTATTTACCCATCGATACAAAACCAAATGGTTAACTTTTGTTTACCTACTACTCATACGTGTCTTTCAACAGTTGTTAGGTATAGAGCATCTGTCTTCCTCATAACTACTTCCCAATTCAGTAATGTAAACAATATCGATCTTTTACTAAGGGTACACCAAAATTCTCACTTTTTGAAAAAAATTTTGAGAGAAACACCAAAAAACCCAGCAGGAATATGTAAGATGGTTTTTGAAGTCAGATACTTCAAATCTTCAAGGAGTGACTTAAAAAAACTTATTTGTTATTTCTTTTTTCTTTATTGTTTCTCAGTTGCTTTATCAGCAAGGACTACTTATTACTTCAAGCCTATTAACACCAAAATTTTGTATACAAGGACACCACCTCTTGCTAGTTATCTTGTATTTCAACGCTTTTGGCTTGCATGCCAAATATGCCAAAGAAGTCCCCAGAGAAGATAGTATAACTTGGTTGGACCTTTGCAAGAACCACCTAATAGTCACGTTAGTTACTTCAACAAATTTAGTTAATATAAAAATTTGGTACAAGTAATTGTTAGAGAGAGTCTTGAAAGTTATCATTTAAAGCTAATTTAAGTTTTTTTAAAATTTATATTTCTTGCTAAATTTGTAGATAAAGATATTTTATAAATTTAGTCTAATCTATTTTTTTCTATTTGATATTTAGTAATTGCAAAGCTATTTCTAGCATTATATTTGTTAAAATATTTTTCTATCTTGTTCTATTTAATACTTAAAGAAATATTCTTAAAGACAATTATATATGAATCTATTAAGATAAGCTTATTAGTTCATACAAAAAGCTTGTATTTATATATTTAAAATACTTATTATTTTCTATTTTTATTATACTCTATATTTTTTATTTGTGTTGTAGATACATTTAACTTTTTAGAATCACAATTATCAAACATAATTAAAGCATTTATTAATAAGTTTTAATTGATAATTTAATAAATTTTTTTGTTATAAGACTTATAATATCTGTTAATTAACTTGCTGATATTGATATTGTTAAGTTGAATGAGTTTATGTTTATATTGAGAAGCTTTTAATATTGTGCTATAAGTAAAGTTGAAGATATGTTTTTATTAGCTTGTTATAGTTGCATTTTAGTATAATATATAGTTGCTTATAATATAACTTATAAATTTAGAATAATTTAAATCTTCCTGTATTATAATATATTTATAGCTCTTTTTTTTATTTAGGATAATTTGAATCTTTTTGTCTTACAATATATTTATAGCTCTTTTTTTTTTAACTTAGATTATAATGCAATTATTTATAAAGCAATTTGAGATTTTTTTTTGGTTCACAATTTGAATTGAGATTTTTGATTTACAAAGCAATTTGTATATGATTTGCAATTATTTTGTTTTACAATATATTTAATTTTAAAATAATTTAAATAAGATAATATAGTTATATTTCACTTTATTATTATAAAAAATAAAGAGAATTGATATTGCCACCCCCCACATTTGCTAATGCCACCCCCCTAAAGATTTAGCTTTTTTTTTAAACTTTAAGCAAAGATATCTTGATAACTACCAGGCCAAATTTGACAAACATTTTTTT